ATAGGGATGAAGGTTTATTCTAAGATATTTAGAGCCAATTAGGAAGTATTAACCACATTGTAAAAGTTTTCAGTCACCCTCAGACTCTAGCTGAAAGGCAGGAGCTGGCTCCAAAATGAATCATCTATGCTTTGAATGCTGTCAACATTTCAGCCTTGACCTAGACTGGGTCTAAGCCACTTGACTTTGACTCTCTCTCATGTCAACTGCCTTTTCTGAACCTGCACCTTGTTTCAGCTCAATCATCCTGTGTTCCTAAGATGTGTCTACTGTGCTATCAACCACTGAAGAAATGTGATGCTCTGGCCAAGTTCCTGAAACCCCCTTTTATCATTTCCCTGTTCAGTCCACAGATGGATCCTCTAGGGTGGGTTGTTGCAAGTAACTTTTTTCCCTATTTATCCATCCCATTTTCCTCCTGAGGGCTGGACTAATACTTTCTAGCACACTGGGATCCTGAAGAAGTATGATTTTTTTCTCTTGGTCTTAACTGAAAAGACATATTTGAGTAACCATCTCCAGATGAAAACTCTCAAATTTCCATCTTCATCCCTGACCTCTCTGCCAAACTGCAGATTTGTATATCTGCCTACCTTCTCAACACCTCCCCTTGGATTTCTAACAGATATCGCAAACTCCACTGAATTCCTAGTCTTCCCTCCAAAATGCAACCTCTGCCATCTAAATTGATGTCAACCTTGTCCTTTCAGTTGTTCAGTCCAAAAACCCTGGAGTGATCCTTGATGCTGTCTTTCTTTCAAAGACTACATCCAATTCACCAGCAAATCCTATTGGCTTTACTTTTAAAATGTATTCAAAACCCAGTCACCTTCTCACAAACTCTACTGCTACCACCAAGCCACCATCTTATCTCACCTGGATTATTGCAATAGCTTCCTCACTGGGCTCTTTGCCTATAGTCTTGCCCCTAAGTAGTCTGTTCTCCATACGCAGCCAGAGTGATTCTTTCCAAATGCAAGTGAGGTCATGTCACTCCTCTGTTCAAACTCTACCATGGATTACCATTTTACTTGGGATAAAGGCTCAAGTTTTGCTTTTAAGGCCTTAGATGTAAATTTATACTGGTGGCTCTAGTGTTACCTGATATTTTGTATAGTCTGGGTGTGGAAATAAATTAGGGTTACATGGCAAGCACTGTACTGTCATAAATTAAGACCAGTAATACTCAGCACAACCTCCCTGGAATCTACAGTTTGGCCTCACAAATTTGAACTCTGTCTGTTGAAAATATTTGTCAATTTGGTTAATGAAGATTATCTTTGCTCTATCTGTAGGGAAAAGGGACTGCTATGCAACTAGAAATGTAAACAGGAAAGAGCTTTAGCTTTTCCTTTGGGCTCAAAAGTCAACTTGTTATTTATTTTCTGTAAAGTACTTATAAATTCACTTTGTGTGATAAATATGTGGTCAAAACTAATTGTACTAAATGCAAATAGTTCTCGGCCACGTAAAGTTTTAAATTCTCTATGCTGTGTCTTCCTGATATCCTTTCTTATTTCTGTCAGAAGCATGACTCTATCCATTTTAAGATAAGAAATTGCACAAAACCTCCTTTTTTCTTTAAAGTTTCCCAAAGTTATCCTCTCAACTTAGGGAACTAGAGAAAGCTTCTGCTGAAGCTCTTTGGCAAAATCACCACTTCTGACTCAGTTTGAAGTATATGAAAAGTTGAGTGGTAAGGGAAATGTGGATCTCAAAGTCTATGCACTTTGTTCGAGCAGAGTGAAGATGCACCCTGAGCTTCTGAAGAGGGAGCTTTCTGATTGAACTTTATGGTTATCTGGTTTCCATTTCAGTTTTAACAGATAGCAAATCAGAAACAGGGAGGGGATTTGTGGTGAGCAGGCTTACTAGAAGTAGAGTCTTCAAGAAGTGACAGGGAATTCAGAACCTGCAGAGACAGCAGAGTGAATAGCAATAAAGCAGTTTGGAGCCACTTAATGTAAAGCCCTGAAGACATTGTCACCTTATAGCCTAGTCAGTCAACAACGTTCAAGATGATGACACTGAGTCATCAGGAAAAAAAAGGCACAAAATAATGTTCAGGCAACATCCTGATTAGGATGGAATATATTTTTAGAAAATTTTTTTTACCGTAAATGGTTTAAAAATGCAAAATTGGTGTAATCAAAGCAGTCCATTTTAGTTTTGCTTATGTGGGCCTGCTTATTCTCAGAATATGGCAGTTTTCATTACAGAACTACTACAGACAATTCTCCCATTTCCCTCGCTTCTCAAAGTCCCCTAATTATTACACAGCTCCCCTCATTTTGAGTGGCTGTTATTACTAGACTCCCAGCATTCTTCTCTCTGTTCTCATGTATTAATTCATATAATGCTTACATCATCCTTATGAGATGGGTACAATATCGTCATCAGTTTTGAAATAAGGAAATTAGGTGTGGGGGGAATATTACCTGCCTAAAGCCACACAGCTAGTAAGTGGCAGAGTAAATCTGTTATGCTACCTAAGTCTTCTTCTAAATGACAGCCCCGTGATGGAGGAGAGTTGTACACCCTACATCTTCTCGTCCGTGTCTGAACTGTGCTTCAAATGACATTATTTTAGACCCATTTATTCTCTTATTTATTTTCCTCTGGATACTCTTCTGTGTCTCTCTAAAATTGTGGTCCTCAGAAATGAGCGTGAAGCTCTAAATTATTTTGTATCTAATACTTCTATTAACAAAGTCTAAGAGAGTCTACAATGGATTTCCCTTTTTTTGGACAGTCAAGTTGGATTTACAACTCCTACGAAGCTTTGACTCAACCCACTTGACTGGGCTGCTCTAGTAGCCCCCTGACTGTTCTCCCTGCTTCTACCCTTACCCCCTTAGTGTCTGTTCTCTAGCCAGCAGGGAGAATGATCCTGTTAGAACTTTTGCCAGATTACTTCTCTGCTTGAAGTCCTCTAATGTTTTCCCATATTACTCAGAGTAAAAGCCAAAGTCCTACAATTATCTGTAAGGACCTCCTGGTGTGACCTCCAGCTTCCTCTCCATCTTCTCTTCCTGCCATTTTCCCCTACTCACTGGTCTCCAGCCACAAAGACCTCTGATGTTCTTAAGACCTGCCTGCACCCTTTGCCCTTGCTATTCCTTCTGCCTGGAACAGTCTTCCCTCAGAATACACATGGCTTTCATCCCTCCCTTCAGGTTTTTGCTCAAATGTCACCCTCTCATTCCCACCCCATCATTCACCATCCTCCTTTCCTGCTCATTGTAAAGTCATAGCATTTATCATCAGCTGTTTGTTTCTTCCCTCTATCCTACCTCATATAACACGATATCCACAGGAGCTTTTTTTGTCTTATTCATTAGTGTATATCCAATATGTAGAATAGCGCCTGGCATATAGTATGTAGCCAATAAACAATTGTTGGATCAAGATTCTTGTTGTTTTGGACATGAACTGTTTTTGGTCAGAGAACTGCTTAATCCTATACTGTGTGGTTGTTTCAGGAACGTTTAGATCTAGTCGTAGAACTGTACATTTTGGTAAATCCCTTATTGAGATGGAAGATACACTGTGTCTTTGGATTTTTTTAATATTCTATTCTTTTATGAGAAAGAAAATAAGTCAGACAGCATCTGACTTTTTCCATTGAATCCCTATATATATATTTAGGACAAGAGAGATGTATTTTCCAAATGCAAACCACATTCTAAAAACTATGTTTTATAGTTCTGACAGGTGTCAACCTCAAACTCTTCCCTCTACCACTTACGAAATTCACCCTTCCACCCTTTCGAAAAGTAGGACAGCTTTCCTGCATCTCCAGTCTCCTAATTTTCCCTGGTTCTCCATTCTTTCTCAAAGACAGTCTGTACCTTTAGGCCAAATGTTTTTCTGGGTCCCCTCCCCTGGGTCTTTAGTGGATGATTTCCGTTTTCAGAATGGGCTCAGAGAGAACCTTCTGGGTAGCTATCAGAACATCAGCATCTTCTTAGTGGAGAGTGAACAAAAACTCCAACAATCCAGTCACTGCTTGCAGTTGGCCATTGTGAGCCAGCTTTCCTGCAGAATTATTGTGACAGTTCTCCCAGTTCCCTTGCTTCTCAAAGTTCCTTGGCTTCCAGAATTTTCCTGCTTCACTGTTATCTCAGGTTCCTTGTCCATCTATTTTTAGCTTTCAGATTTCCTATTTCACTTTCTCCATTTCTATTTGATCACGGTAATCTTATTTTCTGCCTCAGTGAATTGAAGTTGGACTACTCTCCCTTTTTTTTCCTAAACCTAGAGCTTCATTCAGGAAGTGACCTGAGTAGAGTTTTGTTTCGGCTTTTATTAAAGTAACATTCCAACTCTTTGTTCAGACCCTCACGTGCCACTCGCCCTTCTCTTGCCTGGTTTTTCTCTTAATGCCTGTAAGAAGCGAGTGGATCTCAGCTTCCTGGAATGTAGGAGGAGTCTTACTGAAACTTCACTGATTTTTCTGGCATCTCACTTTCTTTTAACATTCCTTATCATAATTACTTAAATTTGTCAACCACTTTATTTCTTAGAAGGGTTGCATGTTTTGATTCACACCCAGGGTACTAAGAATCCGCCTCTTTTTGATGTGGCAGAACCAAATCCATCGTCTTCGCTGAAGGCATGCATCCCTCTGAGGCTCTTTATCTACACCTCCATTATCGCTCTTAGATCCCTGACTACAACTTGAAGGCCTGTCCTCTAGAATCAAACTGCCTTCTTTCCTGTTCTTGCTCTATCACTTGCTAGCTGAGTGAGGTTTCGCAATTTAAGTTCTCTGAGCCTCAGTTTCACAATCTCTATGATGGTGATAAAAAAATATTTACCTCAAGGTTTTTAGTAATGCTCAAATGAGATCTCACAATGCAAAGCACTTTGAACAGTCACTTATAATTATTTTTCCTATTTTACAGTAATACGTGCAACTTTGGAATGAGGGGAAGAAGCGGGAGCTTTTTTTAAAAGGTTTGGTTGCTGCCATTTCACCTGGGCCTGGAAGACTTGTTTTTCTGGGTGAAGAAATGTTTTCCCTGTGCGAAGCTTTCGTAATCACAGTCAAGCAAGCCCATGAGTCCTGTCATTTAAAGTGGCTTCTGTCTTTTATCTAAGATGCTCACACCTCCACCCTGGGAATGAGAAAACTGATCCAGCACCTGAGATTCAACAGAATAACCACTCAAGTCCCTTTGAATTCTATGTTGCCATGATCCCATGGCGATGGGTGACCAGAAGTTGACATGAACACTTTTTGAATATCATGCCACGTGGAGGCATTCTTACTTCCTTGTGAACGTGACTGAGTTTTGAATGGGTAAGTGAAAGGGAAGAAGGGACACAATGAAGGCAGTCATAGAACCAGTGTTTAACATGGTTATATGAGAAATAGAAAATGAACCTTTTTAAGTTTTCCCAAGCCAGATCAGGAGCATTAACCTGTGGAGTGGAGGGTGGTCTTATAATCTAAAAAAATGGCCGTGGAAATTAAAATTTATCAGAAAAAAATGAATTCCACAAAGGCAAAGTCATTTACTTAGGAGGAGAAAATGTTACCAATGTAGAGAATTTCTGTGAATATGAACTTGAAATAAAAAGAAAGGAGGGATAACTGACTATTAATGGAATTGTCTGGAAAACATGTTATGTACCAGTATTATCCCCACGATCCCTAATTCTAGGCTTTTTTGGTCACTGTAAAATTATAACACCTTCAGTGTATCTTTAACAGTTTTTTAGGAACATATTAACCAAATGTACAAGTTTTGATTTGGCCGTAAAATGCTAGGAGAGCTATGATTCTCTAGGATTAATGAATAACATTTGTTTATTTGATTTACTTTTAAAATCATGCTAAAATCTGTTTACATATCTGTTCTCTCCAGGATGAACTTTATGTTGGTTCAGCAGATTGTTTACTGTTTTTTCTTCTTCTTCTTTTTTTTTTTTTCTCATCTTCCCTGCTCAGTGCCCAACCCGAGTTCAAAGGCTGATGAGAGAAAAAAACTCATGAGGAGGTTTTACTCTCGGGAAAGTTGTTCAGTGGATGTGATCTTGGCGCAGAGGGAAAGATGTCAGGCTCTTCCTGGCTCCTTCTCAGCCTCGTTGCTGTAACTGCTGCTCAATCCACCACTGAGGACCTAGCCAAGACATTTTTGGAGAAGTTTAACTCTGAAGCTGAAGAGCTGTCTCATCAAAGTTCACTTGCTTCTTGGAGTTATAACACCAATATTACTGACGAGAATGTCCAAAAGATGGTGAGTTCTCATGGCTACACAGGGATATTTGTTGCTTCTTACAGATTAGAATCCTGCCCATAAAATTGAGAAGGGAAATCAGAGAAATGCTCTGAGCTATGAGGCTGATGCTTTCCTCGGTATTTCTGATTCTGGAGTCCCAGATGTCTAAACTTAATTGACCTTGGGGTTGATTTGGAAAATTGTTACAAAATAATTCACTGGTCTCAGGTCCAGATTCTTGGAAACCAGTGAACATGCTTTATAAAGTTGCCACCATAATTCTCATCATAGTTCAGGGTTTCAAAGCATTTCATGGAAATGCCATTGGTTATTCAGCTAATTTCCTCAAGCATACAATGTCAGTAGGAATATCTAAAGACCCTCTACAAATGATATAGTAACTGAAAAATGCAGCTGGAGGCTTAGTGAAAGAGCAGGCTTGTAATTAAGCTAACCTTGGGTCGGGTGAGGCTGGACTTGGGAATTCCTTCCTTAATTGTTATGGAGCTCTGAGGGACTTCCAAAGGTCACAGAATCCATCCAGAGCCCTCCAAGAAAAACCATAATTAAACCAGTTCTGACAAATCTCAGAATACTCTGGGAAAGCAAGATGCTTTGTTTGACAAGTGCAAGGATTTAGGAATTTCTCTCTCACAGATCCCAAAGCAGTATTCTTACACATTTAGTGCTAGAAATTGAACAACGTTATTTAAGAAAAGATTTTTGTCGCACTTGTACAGCAATACGTTCCTTCAAAAATGTAGTTCAGAAGCTTATTTTTTCAAATGATTAATGGTTGTGTGTTTAAATTAAACTACTGCCATTCACTGGACAGATCAAATATGAGAACTATTGCCTCCTTTGAAATCCCACAAGAGATTTTTTTCTATTTTTTTAAAGCTCAAAGAAATCCAGGAGATTTTGACAGCACAGTGCTATCATAGGAGATCATTTTTTTTCTTGTCTCATGTTTTAGTCTTACCTCTCTTCATCTCTTCATTGTTGCTTTTTTTTCTCACCTTTTATTTGCTCTCTGTCGTAGGTACCTGTAGTGTATCATGTATTTGTTTTCATTCTCAGCTGAATGGTCCTGTGGGTGGTGGTGAAGATATACCAGCATCGTGCCTAAGAGCTCTGGAGCCAGACCGCCAAGGTCCAAAGCCTGGCTCTACCACTTTCTAGCTGGGTGAACTTGAGCTAGCTAATTAACCTCTCTGCACCTTAGTTTTTTTCATCTGTGAAAAAGAACATTCATATCTGCCTCAGAGGGTCACTGCGAAGACTGAATTAACACACAAAACAGCTAGAATAGTGCTCGATGCTTGTGAGCATGGTAGGACAATAAGATATCATTGCTATTAGTGTGTGAAGGAGTTATAATTGCTGAAGAGATGTGTAACAGTTCTGTGAAGCGCTCAGATGCTGAGAAGGCATGTTATAGGATGAGATGTAGTGATGTTGTTGAAATCGTCTTTGGATCATTAAGTGCTATCACTTTTGAATTGCACCAGTTGATTAGAGCAAAGGCCAGAAATGAAAGGGCATAAGTCACAAAGTGTGGCCAAATTGCAAGAACTATGGGCTCTTTAAAGGAAAGTGAAAACATTTGAATGCAGGAAGCAAGCAGGAGGCCCAATATCTCCTTCCACAAGCAGTGGTGAAGTGTAAATTAATGCATTTAGGTGCGTCTGTGAGGGTTTACCTGGGGCGGGGGGCAATGGGCAGGGAGGGAATTGACTCTTCCTTCTATTCTCTTATTACATGTATTGAGATCTCCTAATAAAATGGGCACTGTGGTAGGTGCTACAAGAGGTACCAAGGGCCGGCCCTGTGGCTGAGTGATTAAGTTCACACGCTCCGCTTCAGCGGCCCAGGGCTTCGCCGGTTCGGATCCTGGGTTCAGACATGGCACCGCTCATCAGGCCATGCTGAGGTGGCGTCCCACATAGCACAACCAGAGGCATTCACAACTATAATATACAACTATGTAGTAGGGGGCTTTGGGGAGAAGACGAAGGAAAAAAAGAAAAAAGTAGATTGGCAACAGTTGTTAGCTCAGGTGCCAATCTTTAAGAAAAAAAAGATGTACCAAGATGAGCAGGATGCTGAGATAATGGTATGCTGTTGGTGGTCATGCTTAAAGAAAGAACTTTAGAAATGACAAATTTTCCCCTCAAAAGAGCAACTGGAATGATTTAAGGGGATCAGAGAGAGTTATGAGGGAAAGCAGAATTAGATGCACAAAGCCTGTCTCAAAAAGAAAAAAATATTAGTCTGAGATGGAACAAGAAAGGATAGAGTGTTCACAGTTGTATTGGCCAAATCTCTTCATACTAGAAAGGTGATGCCTTTGAAAGCTCAGAAGAGAGAAATTTACCGTAAATAGGAGGAGGTGCTATTTACCTTACAGGTGGTAAAACTGGTAAGACTTGTAAAACTGGGCCATTCTTTAATATAAAAAATGAGACATTAAAAACTCTAAATAGGTTTTTGAAGTATTTAAGCAAATGTAAGGACAGTAGATCCACCGTGGGTAAGGAAGTATGGTCAAGTGCATTGATGGACCCAGTTATTTACCCTTCTCTGTAGCAATGCCTTAGGTTATGTCACTTTGCAGTGCCATCCCACTGAAAATGATGTGACCTTGTCCTTGGCCATGTGACTTACTTTGACCAATGGGGTGTTAGTAGACACGATGCAAGCAGAGGCTTGAAACGGGCTTGAATAATGGGGCTCGTCCTTTGCGCTGTTGCCTTTACCGTGAGGACATGCGTGGGCTAGCTAGCTTAAGAACGAGAGACATTAGGAGTAGTTGTCCCAGCAGAAACCAACCACCTAAAGTTGTAAGTAAAACTTGCTGGCAACCCCCAGTGATTCTAGTCTCATAAACAATAAAGACTTATCCCATTGAGGTTTTTGGTTGTTTGTTATATAGCATTATTGTAACAATGGATAACTAACACAGGAAAGGAAATTTGGGCTATATGACACCTGTATGTTCATATCTTATCAGGGTGACATTGTTGAGGACAATCTGCCATTTCCTAATTGTCCCTTGGTGTAAATTTCAGAGTCAGAATATTGAGCTTGTCAGCCTATGGATCTGACCTAATATGGCGATTCTTAGATCAAGTTGTGAGAATATACCTTAAAATAATAGAAGGCATCAAAACTTGGTCAGTGTAGTGTCCCCAAAGCTCCCTACTTGGGAGAGGTCCATCAGATAGAGATAGGAGAAAAACTTGGTTCACAACAGGTTTCTAAATAGTTCAGAAATTAAGTGAAAATTAATTACCACTTATCATATGCTATACAATAAATTGCCCCCTTGCTTTTCAGCAAATATACCTCTCATGTTTGAGATCTAATAGTCACCAATTAAGCTCTAATTATCGTCTCAGTAAAATGATATTACTTTTTTCTCATTGTCTCTTCTTTGCAAGTTTAATGTTGGTTTGAGTTTTGAAATGGAGTCCTTTGTAAATCAAAAGGATTATTTTTTTTGCAAAGTCAGAAGCTCTCTAACAATATGGTAGGTTCATGGGCAATTTTTATCCCTGAAAGAGAGTAAAAGGATCTTATTGCTGGCAGAGACACCCTGGTTCACTCTTCCAGGATTTGGCAGTTACTACTACAGCTGCCCCGAACTCCTGTCCACGCAGCTGAAGTGGGTGTTGAAGACTGCCCTGCTGGAGCCCCAAAGGTCTCTGAGAACATATCATAAATATTTCTTGATGAGTCATCAGAAGCTGTGAAGGGAGAGCAGGAGGCCCAGACTTACCCTTTGGGTGGTCTCTAGGGCTTCCTCTCCCCAGTTGCCAGGGCCCCTATTGTCCTTGGGCATGCCTGATTCCTGAACTTGTTTGTTACTCTATCTTTAGGACTGGGGTCACAGTGAACTCAGAGCAGGATAATTTTAAACTGCCATTCAATACCCAAGGGAAGAATGTAGATTTCATCCCTGTCCCCAATGAGTTTGTCCCACACTCCTCAGCACAAACAAATACTTACACACGGGTACAAGGATGCGGAAAGATCGCTGTGCTGCAAATACAGTGGAATTCAGGAAATCCAATGCTGTCTTGACTCTCCTGAGCTGGCTGTGATACCTTGAGCAAGTCACTCATTTCTTTGTCTCTTGAAACGTAAGGGAGTAGATGGGCATAGCCAAGATTTTTCAGTAGATAACAATTGTGAATGGGTAAGTTCCACGTGTGGAGGATTAACATGAGTCAAGTGCATTCATACTAGTTTTCCTTTGCCGTGAAAACTTGATAATGTCCCAGTTTAGTCATGTAATTTTGGTGAAATTAAACTTGAACAACTCAAAGTGGTAATGTTTAATTACATCCAAATTTGGCACAATTATTGATTTGAGCACTCTGGCAGGGCACCAGGCGGCCACCAGCTACACCCAAGGAGGGCAGTCTGGTGGTCAGGAGCTGCCACTGTTTCTTGATGTACGCCAGGTAACTGGGTAAAATTTTGGCTAAATCCTTTGGTTTGGAGCAATTCCATGGCATTTCAGATCCAGATATAGGATCTAGGGAATAAGGTGATTTTTTTCTTTGCTTTTACTATTGAGGGCTTTTAACAACAGCTTTGTTGAGATATAACTTACTAACCATAAAATTCACCTATTTAAAGTATACAATTCAATGTTTTTTAGTATATTTGCAGAATTGTACAACCATTGTCTAATTTTAGAACAGTTTCATCACTCCAGAAAGAAAACTGCATGCCCATTAGCAATCTCTACTCTTCCCCCCGACCTCCAGCTCTAAGCAGCTACTAATCTAATTTCTGTCTCTATACATCTGCCTATTCTGAACATTTCATATAAACGAATTATACACTGTGGTCTTTTGTGACTGGCTTCTTTCACTTTGCACGTTGTAGCATGTATCATTACTTTGTTCCTTTTTATTGCCAAATAGTATTCCATTGTATGAATTTTTCTTTACTTTTTAACATAAAAATTTTCAATCATGTATAAAAGAAGAGAGACTAGTATATTG